ACTGTTTATGACTAGCTTTCTCAAGTTTTTGGCTATTGCAAACAAATCCAGGCATTTGAAAATCCATGAATGGGGAATCATATCGTAAGCTTTACGATAATCTATTCATGCCATGGATAATCTTGAAGCGCCTTGAAACATCATTGAATCACCGATCAGACAAAATTGCTTCGACTCTTTGAAACTTCAACCACCGGTGCCATATTTACGAACTTCTAGCAATTGTATATGTTACACCTTTGCGTCACTTATAAGTGGTACATTTGCTTGTACTGGAATGAACTGATATAATAATAGTACATTGTTGTACACGACATTTTTGAGCAATACCTTTAGGAATACTTTCACGCGATGTGGAGAAATTCAATACCCTTTTTATATAAAATATATATATACTGTAATATACTAATATTACATAAAATACCTCAAATCAGGGGTGTGCAACATTTTTTGACGGTGGGCAATATAACCAACTTCAGGCATCTGGGACGCACAAAAAAAATACAAAATGCAACAGCTCCGCGGGAAAAGCAAGAGAAGAGAATGTGGCTATCGCTTAGCCTTACGGAAAAGGGCACTGGGAAAACGGCAAAAGATTTAACGCAGCGACAAGAGCAAAAACCTTCATGTATTTTTACCCATGTGAACGCCTTTTTAAACACAGACTGTCGGATTAGGATTTTATGCTTAATTGATGAAAATCTGAGTGTTGAAACGGGCCACACTAAATGGCTTGACGGGCCGAGATGTTGTCCGCGGGCCTATGCGTTGAAATAGGAATTGTAAAATGATACATTTTTATTTCTTTGGAAGAATGTATAACTTCATATACATATATCATGAGTTTAATGCCTTGGATACTCTTATCCATATCGATGGTATTAATTTTTTTAAATTATGAATCCGATTATATGGGGTTTATTTGCCTAAAACAGCGTTTCTCAAACTTTCCTTATCTCGCATCGCGGAACACTAAGAAATTAGAAGGTAAAATTGATATTTGAAAAAATTGCGCAATGGATTTACTTTGTGCGTCAACTTGCACAACCAGCTTATCACGAGATCTTTCGAGGCTTCCGGTTTTTAAGCCAACAATCCATTGGAAAAGGTGCTTTCCAGACCGGCACGATGCCTTTTCTGCCAGTTGGGAGGAAATTTACGACCCAGAGGTGCCGAAGTACGACCGGGATCGTCATGGCGACCAATTTAGTCGCAATTTCGATCCCTGCCCCGCGAAACACTCCGAAGAAGATCGTGCAACAGCAGTGATATGCGGAACACAGTTTGAGAAACGTTGGCTTAGTACATGGCTATACAATGAATAAAATACCAATGCATCCTCAAATCAAGGCAATCCAGTATTGGACCTAATTAAAAAGTTTGATATCAGAAGTGTTCGCTTTCCTATGCTATAGTTCAAATTTCAAATTAATGAGCGCTCAGCTAGAAACTATGATGTAAAAACTATGATGTAATATGTTTCGCCGATTTATCGGTCTTTTCGACGTCACAATCGTCTTCGGTTAAACAGTAGAAATTCAATACCATAAAGCAATTGCAGAAATGTGCACGTCACATACTATCTCCTGTTTAAGCGTTTCGGCATCCATTTCATAACATATGAGTTAACAGCCTGGTGCGTGGCATTACATAAATATATCTATATTATAAAGTCTCAAAATCGCCAAAAAGTGACTTCTCAGTTTGGGTATCAGTGTGACGAAATGGTATCAATGTTTCTACCGACATAACGTCGTCATGCATGATTTCAATCCACCGTGTTTATTCCCATCGCTTGTTTTAACGCTAACTCACATCAACAACAATTCCATCCGACACTAGCTGTTTTTAATCTACTAATAGTGTTTCTATGTAACACTAGAAAGTCTAAAGCGATTTTAATAAGTAGCGACAAGTAGAATAGTGATATTAGCGGTGGCTACCCCAGCACTTAGCAAATCGCCTCGACAATAGACAGAATTATGGTAACATAACTAATATATGAATGAATATTTTACATATTGTATTTATTATAAATATTTTATTATTTTAATTGCCTGGTATGGCTCAAATTAAATTTATTTTACCTTTCTATGTCTTTCACGCCCTGTTACGTATGTCTGCCTCTATTTTTACGTAACAATTGAGGTAATCACTACTTGCTGCAATTTCCTGAGCTGCAGCCTATGCACTCTCGTGTAGATTGCAACATTTTAAAGCCACCATGTGCATTACAAATCTCTTATTCTCATCTCCCATGAGACCAGGTGGCAATACAACATTTGCTTTTCATAAATTTACAGTATCCGTCTTTCAGTGACTAATGGCCAATCGGTAAAATGAAGTATAAACGCTTTAATATTTAATGTAGACTTGATTGATTCACTTCCGCATGTCTCAGTTAGAGCAATCGCGAAATATATTGGCTGCTGTTGCCGAGCCAGATTGCAATGAAGACAAAATATTATATGACAGCTATTTAGGTAGTAGGTAATAAGGTAGTATAATTAATAATCTTATTATAATTATGAAATTTATTTGCTGCATTGCATAGTATGCGTTTGTAACATTATTTGCCATTATACATGGCAACGCTATATATATGCGTTTAATGGAATATCAGCCACTTTATCTTTCTTAGAAACTCTCAGAAATAGAATCAGTGAAAGTCATTATTAGCCAATGCATTTATTTATGAAATGGGACAACACATGAAACTAAGTCACATTGCAATGTTGTCAAAATGCGTTTGTAGAACTATAGAACGGAAAGATAGTTTATGGATACAGGTGAATGTTAGATCGTTGTCTTCTAGAATCGAGTAGCGCGTAATTTAGAATAATGGGAATTTGTTGAACACATATTGTAAAATGTTGAGAATGGTTGTAAACGATGGTACTTTGTATGTACATGTGGTCAAATAAAATTGGTTTCGTTACATTTGAACCCACGTACATTTGAACCCATGACAATTGCACCTGCATGCTATTGCACATATGGAATTTTCTTTGTTTTACGGATAGTTGAACCCATACCAACCCTAACCCATGGGATTTAGCACCCGCATATAGATTGAACCCGCGGATATACACATGGGTTAAATGTACGTGGGTTCAAATGTACGGTCACCAATAAAATTACGTATCTCATAGCATTGTCAAGGGGCAAGACAATGTCGACAAAGGGAAATAAAATAAAGACAGCATTTGATAGTCCCTATATGGATATTCTGATGTCGCAAATTCTAGGACATTTGAAAGGTTTAGTCTAGTTCAGCTCTATCGAAAGTGACACTTTCATGTGAATTCCGATGATCTATTCAACCGTTTACTTCAGCGAACAACTTTGTTGTTTTATTAACTTCCAAGCATGGCATGGTTAACATAGGGCTGGATTTAAGCTTGTAGGTTTGTTTTCCGCCAATCTCGCTTACACCCCCAGTTCATTTGATGACGAAATAAAGCTCATACCAATCTCTTGTAACAAACAAAAATGTGATCACTATACGAAATTAAAAGCTTCGTTTAGCGTATATATATACTAAATACTGGCTCTCGTGGTGAATGGATGAAGCCGAAAATCGCAGTCATGTCGTTTCTACGACAGGATGAGATTGTCACACTCCGTTTCAGATAGGGCTTTAGAAACCGCCGTTCATTTGTTGGTAATAGATACGTTAATATTTGAACAATACCTATTGTGTAATCAAATCGCACCAGCCTTTAGACACATACCTCAACGCTAGAAACATCCTTTTTCATGAGTGAGATCGGTGAGCGTTTTATATACAAAAGAAGCGTGGGCAACAGTAAGTTACTGACCTAAAAATATCCAGACACCAATTAATGACACACAATGCTTTGTTTACATTCGCGCTTTTTCGTTCGCAACGTCTCAACTAGTTTTATCTGTTGGTGCTGGGAAGGGCGCTCCAGGAGTGAGTGTACCGATATGGAGGTAACTAATTTTGTTCGCCTACTTTACATCAAGTTCTGTAAGGGACTGAAACAACCTATGGGCAGGGGGTATATCAAATTGGCTAACACACTACGGAAGTACCATAGGGATCACTCAAAGGATATCTGAAAATGTGTTCTTTTATTTTAGCTTAGGCTTGTGATTTTACATATTATTCCCAGTGGCGTTGTTTAAAATTATTGCCTTTTAAATTAGTCAGCTGACAGATATACGGACCAGAGTAAAACAGTGCAACAAACGTTTATGACTTAAATAATTCCGGAAATTTTGTTGATACGCAATAATTAGACCTTTCAGGTCGGGACGAATTCGCGGCGGGTTCATAATTGAGTTCAAAATCAGCAAGCAGAACGGTTTGCATGAAACGTCAAACTCAGCGGTAAATGGCATAAATGTAAGTTTATGTATTTTTGTATAATTCAGGATGGCTTATACTTTCTTGTTTCGATCGGGTGCAATTTCAAGTCATACCGCATGAAAGAGTTTGAAGTCGTACACTAAGAAAGAATACAAAAGCGTCAGTTAATTCACAAAGCAAGTATGAAATTACATGTTTTGTGGAATGTACGTGAGAACCCAATGTGAACAACAATACTCTCGTCGTTTGTTTGAAAAGAAAAATTTGTTATCGAAGACTGTTGGTTACTCCTGCTCGCTCTAGTTACTGATTTAAATTTCTGTCTAGTGAACCAATAAACCATTGAAGATTGAAAACGTAGTAAATTTTATTTCAAGAGCTACTCTTTAGCATACTAAAGTAGTTAACGAACTGTAAGTATTTAATATCAATTTTTACCATCATTTCATTGTGGTTTTATGGGTATTCAGGAGAAAACCTGCAGTGGGAATTGTATGAGAAATAGGTTAATCTAGTCTACTGCTCAAAAACGGAATACAAAACTTTCTTAGCAACAGAAAATCGGATTACAACTGCTTCAACAATATTATTAAATCTATCCTCCCTCCAGTAGTAAAGAATTTAATTTTGAATTTATCGAAAATGTTTAACTTTTATGTTACAGGATGTTGCTAGAATAGTCTCAAAACTACATGTATATATATAAAGTTCTAGCGAATGTAGTATATATCAACATGCCATCTCGGAGATTTTGTAACACGGGGATATTGTCTATGCGAAACACTGTGATGTGCATCATATTATTCAAGATTGTTCTTATAGCAAGTATCATGAACTTCATGTTTCAAAATAAGATGCCTACCAGGGTATTATATCACAATGTAACAAACTATACCATCTCAATTTACTCAAAGTTGAATAATATTGAGGTGAAACAAAGTATTTCATTGTCATTGGTTGCAAATGGAACAACAGGGGGTATACGAAAATATTCATCGGAATACTTCCCTCTTTGTCCACCTGAAGAACATCTTGTTGGTATATTGAAAATAGATCTGGACCTAGCAGAGAAATCGTATTTTGAAATGAATAATATGACATCAAAAGACATGAAGACACATGGGAATGCATTTTTGGGAAATTTTGAAGAACGAACTTTGGGAAATATTTCAGATTTTGTTTTGGTGTTTGAACCGGCACATTGTCTTCCTCCACACTCGGTTGCGTTTATAATACCTTTTAGATATCGTGAAATACATCTACGGCTTCTGCTGGGACATTTGATACCAATTCTCCAAAGACAGTTTCTTCGGTGAGTACGTTCGTATGAAAATCTCCAGGCTTGTCCGTGGGATGGGAAACAGCACAAATTTATATTACCCATAGGATACGTGTGACACGAAAACCGAATGAATTTTGCGGAAATGATGGTAAAACATTACGATATCAACTTCGTATCCATATATTTGAGCATAGTTCTTTTGTTAGTTATAAAGAGCAAAATATATTCAGCATTAAAAATATACTTCGTGATGGGGCCGATGGACACATGTATAATAGTTAAGAATATAAAGTTAACAGAGTTCCTAAATTTTGTTGTTTTGCATGTCTATTCGTACATGTAGTCATATTTAGTGGACGCTAAACCTAAATTTAACAATTTTGAATGAATTTTATTCCAATGGGAATCTCATGGGATGGGACAGGCATAATTGCTATGGGATGGGATGGGAATGGGACAAAAAAAATATGACCCATAGACAAGCCTGAAAATCTTCTAACAATATTTCTGTTATTAGGAGGTGTTTGAGTTAACAAAGTCGTCGTGGTTAGACAAAGTAATGGCTTACCCATTCACTTGCATAATCCGCACTGCCGAATACACAAACTAAAGTTTTCAAAAAATAATAAACAAGCTCCGGTTTATTTATTGTCTTAAATACTTCCCTTGAATGCAAGTTATAAATATTTTTGCTTTTAAAATTCTTTTCTAAATGATTTTTAGGCCCATCATGACATTGCTGCGCTCTTTCGGCATCATTTACAGAGCCAGCGTCAACAATAAACGTAGGTTGTATGAAACGAACAAATTGTAACCAAACGACTGTTATGACACATATTCATATGTATTTGACGTTATAAACCCGAGTGTGTAATCAAGCCCTACCCGCATCCCTTACCCCAAGCTTTATAATTACTTGGCCCAAGTGTCAGTCGTGTGAGAGCCCAGAAATACGTATCGACCTTGTATATGACTGCTTTAAGCGTGTCAACAGATCCCTAAAACGCAATTTTGAAATGTCTAGATACTTTATTAATGGTTAACCATGCCATACCCACTTAACCTACCTGCTTAGCGACATCTTGAATAGCAGTACTCGTCTCTCAGAATTAAAAATTATGTTTTGGGGTATTGATACTTGCGTATCAAGTATTAGGAATAATTCGCCTGGTGACAAAGTATTGTATTTTTTGCTGTATATAGGTTTGACGGGTCAAAGCTGGATTAGTTTTGGCACGAGCCTCATTGTTTTCCACTTTTGCTTTTATAATACCGTTGTAAATAAAATTCTGTTTATAAAACGTAACTTTTACGTCACGCTTACATGGCCCGCCATTTTAGATGGGCAAAATTTTTGGCCCTTAGTCCATAAACCTTGCCCACCCCTGAATATATTTTTACTTTCTTGAACTTTGGACTTTAATGGCATCGAAAATTGGAAATTCTACGTAATATGTAGTTGTTATTATGAGACATTTATGACCAGTTAATAGAACACCACATCTACATATTGTCCGTTTCATAAATTGTGGTGGATTTACAGATATCGTGCGTAAGTATAAGTTTTGGAATTCTGTCAACTTTGGCCGTTGACCATACCAGTTGTTCAATTTTGTTTATACGTTCTGGAATTCCCTCAACTTTGGCCGTTGAAAATGCCAGATGTTAAAATTTATACCGAGTTGATGTTGAGCTATCAAAGGGATTTCTTGATAAACGCACACCAATAACCAAGTTCATTCTTTTCAGATATTCTATATTTGTCATTAATCAGTCAGGGAATGGCACGTTTAACAAAGGACGCCTCATGAACACTGGATTCGAAATCGCGTCGATGGTAGGCAAAGTAAATGGGAAGCCTTTCGATTGCTTCATATTTCATGATGTAGACCTACTTGCTGAATATGACACCCTCTTATATAGGTTTGTTTTACCTTAACACAATGAGTTTAAAACGTCCTATTGACCTTAAATTCTATAATGATGTACATTATTTCAGAAATTTGAATGTAAATTTGACGTTTGAATCGCATTGTCTTTGAATTCTGTTAAATTTCCAACTGTGTTTCTTTGGTTAATTGTTCGTACCGTTCTCAGAGCGTCAGAACAAAGGTGTAAATTACCACTTGAAATTTTTATTGTGCCGAATTCAACTATGGCAAACTACAATACGTCAAAATACCAAACAAGTCACCAAGATAGTATAGAAATTGAAAAGCTTTGATTCATGGACACTTGGGCAAAGCATACATCTAATCTAACTCACAAAATTCGAAAAAAATATTAACAATTTGATTTAGTACTTCAGATGAAAACTATTAAATTTGACTGTGATCATGTGAAGTTGTATATTGATTGAACCATCAAAATTTTTAAGATGTCCTGGAGGTAGCGCCGCAATTCATATGGCTACTACTATTGACAAGTTTGATTATCACCCAATGTGTTGTGGAATAACGGTTGGTGGCGTCCTTGGCATGACTGAGGAACAATTTAGAAATGTAAGTCTAATATTCTTACATTGGAAAAAAATGAGGAATTACAGAAGAATTTGATTTGGAAAATAGACAAAAAAATTAACACTTTTTTTTACCTGAAAAATGTGTATAAAATACATCTTTTATTTTCTGGGTTATACCTCTCAATTATTGTGAGCATTGGATATTCTCCACTTTGTATACATAGAACAACTTTATTCTAATAACAGGTGAATGGATATTCAAATGAATACTGGGGTTGGGGGGGAGAAGATGATGATATAAACGGAAGAATCAGAAATAAAAAATATTGGCTCTCAAGACCAGACGCAACGCACGGAAGGTTTGTTTGTTTGTTTTGCTTACCACGGTTCGACTGCATTGTTAGAGGATGGAAATATGCTGGTTTTAGCTATAACAATAGTCTGGAAATCCCAATATAAATATTGCGTATCGTCGCATAGTGTCTCTCGATATATTGGTGATATTTTCACACGTATCTTCTTATTTCCTTCGTTTAATATTTTATCAAAATACGCTATTGTTACAATAAACTGTTGGCGTGACATACTAAATAAAACGAACGGTACTCTCGAATTATGTAAACCAAAATAGCGGACACCGGAACGTAGTATGGGTACCAGTTAGGGTTAAGCCATAACTTTCATATACAAATACTACAGGAGTCACTTGGTTAGTCCACGAACTCTTAATAAAACTAAAATAAGAAAAATTGGAATGAAATTATGTCATAACCCTTACCTGGTACACATACTACGTTCCGGTATCCGCCATCTTGGTTCAAATGTTACGGGAGCGCCAAAATAACAGCCTAACGATGTATTTATTTTTCTATTGGTGATATCGACCCCATTATTGTTCGTTCGTATTATAATAATACCGGTGTATGTATACCCTGCTGATTTTTGAATTGAAAATGAAATAGTCTGGTCTTTAATTATATTTACCTTTGAATGAATATTAAGATACACTATGTTGGCGCATGAGAAAGACAGAGGTAATGCTGATAACGGTAATCGACATGCGACTCTTAAAGGCGCCCACGAGAGGTAAGTTTTTAATTGAAATTTCACAAATTATTTAAACTCTTAAGCCTGTTCAAACGAGTTATTCTATAGTATGTGTACCGGGTCAGGGTTATCAGGTTGTGCGCCATCTGTACAAACTACGGGAGCGCCGAAATATCATGTAACGAAGGATAGTTTTTCGCATCCTGTCCCTGATTCTAGCTCTGCAAATAAGTTTTTTATTCATTTTTTTTTCTTAGGTGGGATACCGATGGCTTAAAGAATTTGAATACGAACGTGAAATCTATTCACATTTACCCACAATTCACAAAAATTTATGTTGATGTTGGAAAACCATCATGACAGAAAAACTGTGATTATTCTTTCACACCCAGATCTTTATCGGCTTTATTGACACGACATACCACTCATCTTCATTTTCAACCACTATACAATCAATTATAAAACCCAAATTAAACTTTTATCGGATTAGTACAACACTGTACATTTCAAATTAATTGCTCATACTAAAATCATTCCGGGGTTTCTGGAGGTTGGTAACTGCTAATACGCGAGTTGGACAGGCAGGTCATGATAAGGAAATACAAAGGAACAAACTATCAAATCCGTTACAGTATCGGTAATCTTCCTTATTAAAAAATTTCCGACTTCGCTAACCGCCAGATCGCTGAAAGGAGATTGGGGAACCGCGCGGTGCGCAATTTTTATTTTAATGACATCACACAAAATTCACTGTGAAAAACGAATCCCATGGAGAGCACAGAAATTTTTGAAATGAATGAATGTAATAGCCTTCTAGCGACAAAAACAATCTTCAACCACTGAAAATTTCAGAGCAATTGGTCCAGTAGGTAAGGGGAAATAGATTTTTCACAACAGCCAGTGGAAAAAGAATACCAAGAAGAATACTAACAACGACAATAATACTATGCAGTTTTGTGTCGCATATATATATAGAAATATATACTGAAATCTAAATTCCAACGAAGGAATTGAGTGGACTAGACAGTGGACTATATTATCTTACTATTGTGTTAGGGGGGTATGCGGGGTCCTCCGATTCATGGTATCCATATATTTCCCAATTGGGTGGTTTTGACTATTCCTGAGCGACTCCGAGAACCCCCGCTCACGTGCTTTCGTTTTTGTCCTGTATTTTATCGGTTCGATCCGATCCTTGCTTATATATGCTGAATAATAAAGTTTTGCGTGGTATTTGTCAGTTTTCAGTTGTGTTCACAAAAAGTGAATCAATTACCTTAATTGTCATTATGTCTTTGGATGACCTTTAGTTCAGTTGCAATAATTAAAATTTGGTACAATAGACTAGCCGGCAAACGCTGCACAGACTAGCCTAAAACTAACTATCAGCACCTGTAAGCGGCACGCAGTTTAATGGTTTGAATAAAAATGATATTTTCGAACACGTGAGCCATTCTGTAAGCGCTTGTAACTTTCTAAAACCCATTAAATAAAGCGTCTAAAATTTTGGTGAAGTATAGGATGAATTTTCTAGGGGTCAAGGGTCGGGGGAACCTCCATGCATAACAACTTAACGAGAGCGATGCTCAAATATACGGGCATGTAGAGCAAATCAAAATATTTCATCCATTCCTCGAAAATCATATGCGGTGCGGTAACTTACCTGTAGCTGATATTCAATCGCAGAATCACTTGAAATAAAGAAATAACAGCGTTTCCATCAGTAAAAAAATACAGCGAATTTTGGATGAAATATCAGATCTCGTAGGATGAATCAGTAATCGGCAAACTTTATGTACTTGTGGGCCAAATATCCACTTTTTCTGTAGCGTGCGGGCCGCATTAATTTCCGCCTATAAATAATCGCCAGATTTAACATCAAATTATGGCGCACTCGCATCTTCTATTGCTGTGTTAAAAGGATGCCACAATGAGACGTGTATGTTGCCTTTTTATATACCTTTATCAAACAACAAATGTTTTTATTTACTTAACAGTGAGAGATATTGTTGTTTCTGTGCCCTGGCCAAAGCGGCAACTTCGTTGCCCCGCAGTACGTCGTCCAATTGACGATCTGACAAGCGGCACGAAATTTAATCTTAGTGTAATACCTTTTAGATAGAGCCGCTCACAGCAATCTGTGAAGTAGCGCACCCTCGGTCTCGGGGTCAAATTTCGTTTTTGCAATGACACGTTTAACATTAAACACCTTAATAACTGCGATGTTGACCAAGCATATCAAGCAAACGTGTTTTGAAATGCGCGAGAAAGAAAAATATTTTTTCGTTCCACTTTGGAATGTTCGGCGCTCGTCGCAAACTTTCCCCCATTTCTCATACATTTTCAAGATATAGAAATCAAAATAAACTTAGCTTATATTTACAACCAACGATGGGACGTTCATCAAGTAAACAACATACACCTGACACTACTTGCTATGAAACAAGAGGAACTTGTTACTAAATAAATCCACGTAGATACGATACATTTAGAATACATTTTTGATTTATTAGTTAAAAGTCGTTCGAGGGCCGCAAAAAAATCGTTCGCGGGCGCAATTTGCTGACCCCTGGTCTACGCGGATGCGATGTTACGTCGCTATTTGCATCTTGCTGATTGGCCAATGTTACAAAGTCAACAAGAAAGTCGATGCCCGGGGAAACGTATATTGGATAAAAAAATACGTTGAACCAGAGCAAAAATGGACTTTTGACCTTTGACCTCCAAACATTATTTGTATACTTTGTCGTTAATTTTGGAAGTGTTTTTGCGTAAAATTATTCGATAAAAATTACACTGAATCAGAGTCGTAACTGACCAACGTCGACGAGGAGTCTGGCAATCTTTTCGCCTATAACTATTCTCACGGGATTCCTAGAATTCAACACGATGTGTCAACGCCGCCAAGCAATTATTAGGATCTTTTTTGCCTTGCATTTTGCGACCAGGCCAAATCTTGCAAGCTAGTATGTAGTCAAAAATTGTGGAGCTACAATTTGTAAGCATCTTTATCTTACTGGATTATTGATTTAAAAAAAAAACATTTTAACCAATTTTTTGCAATTGCAAATTTTTGGCGTGCAAAATTGAATCCTCCCGCGTGCATTTTTTGTGGAGCGCTAGCGCTCTCGGGCGTGCATATGCCATGGAATCCAGTCTGACTCTGGATACATACGACAATGAATGACGAAGATGTACTCCAATGGGTTTTATGCCTAACAAATCTGAGAAATTACGCTATTAGACAAACTCGCTTACACCGCCATTTTAAGACAAAGCAACCTACCCATCACAATGGCCTTTTTTCCAAGCAAAGAGAGGAGGGGTGGCGCAAAGTTTCTAAGATTTTTCAGATTGCGCGGCTCGAAAAGTTTAAAAACCAATGTCGTAGAGAAATTTATTTCATTCATAAGCCACGATCAAAACTATCAGAAGATGACCTCAACATAGTGTAAATGACCGGTAGCGTAGAGTCTGTTGGAGCAAACGTTCATGCACTTACATAAATTTTCCTTAGTTTCGGAGGTATGCAACTAACACGAAGATTCAGTACACTAACACGAAACCCCAGGAAATTGAAGCATTGCCTATTCCGAAGCGTTACATTTTACAAGCACGCCATGACTATTTTCATAAAACGCCAGTAACAGTGATATACTGTGACCTCCTAGTTTTCATTGTTAGGTGGCTCATCTCACTGCATCTTCACTAATTAGACAAAAGCTTGTGGTAATGCTTTCGAGCAGTCACACATAGAAAACTACCTGTTCCGACAGGCGTCGGGTACGGCTTTTATTTCTGAAAGTACCGGTAGCATTTACTGTGAAGTTGCATAATTGCACAAATACATGATTGATACATCGCCATCAGTGCATTGGTCATAGCTGCGAAACACCTCATGAAAAACGAATTTCCGAACTAAAAATTTTAAGGTGTTTTACCATATATTTCTCTGGTATGGCATAAGGTAAATCAGACCAATTCAACATGTACTTTTTTATTGATACCGAGACAGGAAATTGTGGTTTATAAATTCCAGTTGCCTCTGAAAAATATTTCTCTACGAAACGGGTGACAAATTGGTGGAAATACTGTAACAAACTAGAAATTACCAGAGTGTCTTTAACTCTACATACAACATAAGACAATACTTCATATACCCAAACTTCTCTTCCAAAAGTGGGGGAGGGGAAGGTAATAGGAATGTATTTAAAATAAATCTATGTGCACTATTGTCTTCGTGTTATTTAGGCTTCAATGATCTAGCTAGAAGTTTAATTATTGCACGTTGAGCATCTCCGTCACACTCTCGTAGCATTTTCTCTGCAATCTCCCTGGTTACTCCAACATCCATTACTTTTTTCAAGTCCGACTCAGACACCATGTTTACGGAATCGCCTTGTTGGGAGGAGGTTGCCCCTAACGTTCTTCCAGCACCAGGAAAATTTATTGAGGGAATGTCTTCTCTAGTTTTATTATGGCGAATGGCTTCGTCTGTTGATTCCTATAACATACAATATTCATGTCGCACTTATTAAGAGAAAGAAGATAGGGTACTCCCGTAGTGTGCGTACCAGGTACCAGGTCAGGGTTAGGCAATAATTTAATTCCGATTTTCCTTTTTTAGTTCTATTACGAGTTCGGGACTGTCTGTGTTAGACAAGTGAATATACCCCCTGCCCTGCCCATAGGTTTCAGTCCTTTTACACAACTTGACGTAAAGTAGATGAACAAAATTAGTTACCTCATTATTGGTACACACACTTCTGGGACGCCAAAATGTTTTTGTTGGGAAAGTTTCTCCTCAATTAATGGACTAATCTGGGGGTTCTCAAACTTTTGGCGCTATGGAGCCCATGAAGAGGTTGATATTTAAGGAGCCCCACAAATTTGGCACTTGACAAAGATATTGATAAAGTAGTGCCGAATGTGGCAACAGGGCGGTAATTGAAATATGGCATTATCTATTGCAACTTTTGTATAATGTCATATTTGAATTGAACCTATTGTTGTAACATTTAATTAATGCTATTATTGCTTCTTTGGATTGTTACAAAATTAGCAACTCAGTATTATAATAAGTGAACCAATAGAATAGCTCGTGGAGCCCTAAGGTTTCCCTCACAGAACCTCGAGGGTCCGAATGGAGCACTTTGAAAACCTATGAACCAAACGATTCAAACTTTTCAGTACTTAGATGGGAGAAGTAGTTATTATCAGTTTTATTTTTTTCAAATTTTTTAAAGGGATCTAATATTTCACCCAAAATTTTGCTGTTTCACTTTAGGAAACATGCAACTTAAAAAACATTTTATTCCAATATATGTCCACCGATCGTTCAGAAGGCCTTACCAGTACCAATGCACGACTCACAGGTACATGTAATTAGGCACTGCTCTCGTTTTTTTAGGGTAATACTTTACCTGTACTGCTTTTGCTATCCTCTCATCCTCAGTCAGATTTGATGTCTCAGCTGCATTAGGATCATGTAGTCGGCCATGTGTAGGTAATTCACTCTCATGTAGGAATGAAGTTTCTGTACCAGTGGTCCCAATACGAAGTTTATTGTCCTTCAAATCGATGCAACATTGGTGCCTAAAAAATTATCACAGGTTGTTAAAGTAAGTCAGTCAGGAATATGAGTCACCCAATTTCTTGCCGTCACAGGGTGGTTTACTTTATATAACTGCTGGTCAGTAAGCATCGCCACCCTAGTTCATAGATATGAAACTGTTGACTTGCCATATCTGAACTAGAATGAAAACCTTATGTAGGGCTGTGGTTCATCATCTAATTTAGCAATCTAACCAACTTTTTTTTATACCTTGGGATAAAATGAAAAATAGTATCAGATAGTAATAATATTGATATAAAAACTAAGCTATTACCTTCTTAACATATCTAGTCCAAGTAAAACATCCATGGGTTGATCTTCAAGAACAGAAAACGAACACTGAAGAAAATCATTTTCAATCTGCATTTGTGCAAGATGAATTCGACCTATAATTTTTTGCGTTCCAACTCCTTTAGCGATACCTTCCCATCTTCTGTCTACCAGACGCATGATGTGACAGTTTTCCGCACATTTTGCACTCATGATTGTCATTTGAGCACCAGAATCAACGAATGCTATAAAATTAAATAACAGCTAATAATAAGGATAGTTTGTAATAAATTTTTAAAAGGTAGTTTTTGAGATACTAATACTATATCAGTTTCTAAAATATATTTCAGCTTACAAGTACTTTACAACAATCTAAATCAGGGTTTCTCAAATTTTTTGGCCGCGGACCCCGGTTTGTATTCTTATTTTTGACGGACCCCCATCCCATGTTGTATCTATTTCTGTGCCTAACCAACGAGAAAGAATAATGTTGAAAATAATGAAGAAAAAGGATGAAAGTCTGAACCAATACATACTAAAGTTGAATACTGGTAGGCTAACGAAAATTTAATAAGATTATGATTTATTTTTATATGTTTTGGACTCTTTTCATATCACTGCGGGACCCCCTGTGCAGTCATCACAGACCCACGCGTCCGCGGAACCCAGTTTGGGAAACCCTGATCTAAATGACAACATTTTTTGTTCATATCCTATGTTTTATTTACACCATGGAAATGAAAAATTTTAAATAACGAGCAAATTAATTTCAAGTATGTGAGTTTCCTGAAATCATATTTCATCAAACAGCATTTATTTTCAATTTCCATTCAACAAAATAATTTTTAGGTTCTTGACGAGAAGATGAACTGAAAAATAGCTAACAAGAAAAGTTTTACATGATATTGAATAAAATTAGCCCAATACCCATGGAATAAAAATTTAGATGGTGGTCAAGTCAAGTGTTTGAAATATCCGCATATAAACTATGAATAATTATGAATAATTAACACAATGCCTTTTCATAAAACATAGTATCAGATTATTAATGAAGATGATGATAACAAACCTTTAACACTGTGACCATTTACTTTAACGTTGATCCAAAGCATTACAACTTGACCAAAACTTTCAGGTGCTTCTTCTATTGCCATGTTCATGTTTTCTTGTATGTTTTGTTGGCGAATTTCTTCTGCAATCTTATTTTGAATCTCTGGATCAAGAATATCTGCATTCAGCATTCTTATTTTATCTCTTTCATTTTGAGCATGTGTTTCCCTGAAAAGAACATATTTTATAAAAATAAAAATGTTTTGATCATGTTCACTTACTCCCTAATTCAGCAGCTCCAAAAGGGTACACCACGAAAAATTAACCGAATTCGGGGAAACATAACTAACATTATACTGTTTTATTGTTTATCATTTTAAATGCAGTGCATATAAATCGATAAATTAATGTTACTTTTATATATGTTGTTTACTTTCTGTTACGTCGTATCTGCCTCTATTGTTACTTTACTTTTTATTGACGTTATGTAATTGTTTTATTTGAAGGCAGCAATTTTTTTTTTCGTGTTAAGTGTGCCTTGAGTTTTTTTTACCTGATAGTTTGGCCCCACTTGGACAAAAAGTTAGTTTGGGAACCGCTGCCATAATCGATAATATAGGCCCTAGACCGGCAACTAATTTTGTCCCATTTTTTTTTTCTTCGAATAAAATTTTATGAAGCCTACTATTTCAACCAATTAGTGAATGTACAGGGCTTATTAAAATACTAGACCTGTCTTATGACTGTAGTTTCTGACATAATTTATTTTCTAGTTCAAAATATTAATTGTATTGGTTAGCAGAGATACGTGAAAATACACTGAATAGAACATTCAAAAAAGGACGGTGGAAAAATTAGGAAATCAAGGAGAGTTTGGTCATTAAATTTTCTTTCATCCATCAACAAACGAAATCCTGGAATTATGCTATAATAAACCAACCGAATTGAAACCCTATTTCCGCAAAAACACTCTTAACACACTTTTTTCCTACCTCATTTTCTCGAGCTGTTTCAAGTACGCATCCCCTCCTTTCGAAATTGCTTCCGCAAATTCAGGATTTCTCTCTCTTAATAAGGCCATATCATGGCTGCTGTTCAAAAATCTTTGTCGTAAAGCTTCTGGATTTGATAATATGTCTGGCGCAGTTTGCCTGGGTGGTGGTACAGTCTGCCTACTAGTTGAAGGTTGTCCAGGGAACTAGAATGTTGGTTTTAAAATAAAACAGTCAATAATGCAGATCAATTGAGATGGGTTTGAAAATACAGGATTCCGTATATTTTTTTATACGGAATGACAATTTTTCAAAAGTAATCAGCAGTTTTTTTCAACATACACACTGTGTATAGAAAGTATATAAAATAAATGGGGAAAACCCATTTCAGTATTAGAAAAAAAAAAAAATGGTATCAAGCGGAAACACCCATTAATAATAGTAATAATCTAAGTTATTGAAAAAGGGGAAGTTTATAGGAAGCAACACTGATTATGGCAATCGGGGAATTTTACTAAACAACACTGATATTTTTGCTATAGAGTAGCCGTAAAATGGATATATTAACAGTTAACACTTCTTCTGGATGAATGATAAATTAAATCAGAATGACATGGAAGATATAAATAAATTCTCCCAATATATTGAAAAATATAAACAGAAGTGGGTAAATATTTGAATGAAAAAGTACGGAAAAACCGTAGCATGAAAAGCCTCATTTACATGTGAAACAAACTGTGTAATGTAATGTAAACTATGAAGTCAATCAAATACAAAAGATTTTTTGTCCTCAATTTGGTCAAAAGCTTTCAGAGCGATATGTGCAGTAATTTGTGTCTTAAAATCCTGCAATGCTTTATATAATCATGACAATCTACCCTGCTGACCTACACGGTTCATCCTCTGATGACATTGTGTTTTGCATTTGAAAGTTATTCTTAGAGTTGTATTGCTTTATTAGGGCATTTAGTTGCCGTTTGAACAAATAAAAGCCTACACTACAAACTTGTTTATTTCTAAGCAGATCTGTTCAAAGTTTTAATCAAGTTAAATACAGTGATATTATTGATATCAGAACAGTAAAATTCATGACTCACCCTTATTGCACTAAAATCAATGTTAGGCATGCCTGGAGGTCGCGTTGGTTGGTTCAGTTGTCTTTGTGCACTTGATGGAATGTTTTGTACTAAAATCATGTCAGAGTCTTGCACACCGTAAGAAGAAAGAGTCTTTGTTAAGTCTATAAGAGGTATTCCATTGTGAACAAGAAGTATAGTGTCTGATGCAATTTTAAGCTCATCAGAGCAAAGTGCCCTGAAATTTTCCAAACTGAAATCACTTTGAACATCAAGACTTATGGTGTGATCTTTTTCTAAACATACTATTGTCACTTTCATTTCTTCACTACTTTCGTAAAAATCCAACCTTACTTACTTGGAATTATGCTGCAATATTAATTAAGCAATTATTAAATGAAACAAAACAGTGTTACATGCTAGCAGATAAGCACCAAAATAAAAAGAATATGAATTTGTGAAGGCATGTAATATCAGAAATCATTGTTTGACAAATACATAATTGACCCATACCACAACAAATATTTTATTAATAAATCAATCAAAAAAGCTGAACATGAAAAAAATTCAAACAAAAAATAACACCTGATATTTGAGACATTAATGGATTTTAACCATATCATGTGTCATAAAACACTGGTTTATAAATGAAAATGGCAAATGAGTTCATTTATGCTATAAACCCTGACAAGGTTATTGAGGTACAATTGAATTCGAACATAATCACATTATTCCAGTATGAGATCCAAGGAACAAATAAAACCCAGATACAATCAACAGATCATGTATCTTTAAAGTGGTAACTAAGAGTTTTGTGGGAAATTCATACAAATCCATTAGTATTAGTAGTCACTTATTACTCTTTTATCAGTACAGCAGAATGCAGAGTAGATATTTGACTAGTTTTGATTACTTCGATCATTGAAATAGGACTAAATATGACATCAAATAAACATAGAAACAAATCAGAGGAACAATTTTCCAGAAGTAAATACACCACCATGAAAATTGTATTTGCCAAATCATGATCCTCATCAATAAATATAGATTATAGGACAAGATAGAAATTGAACATGGTTTTGAAGTGGATTGGATCTTGATTGAAAACATTGATTATGTCATATAATACTATATTTACCTCTGTATTATAATTAGGGATTGCAACTGTCTTCGTGGCTTGTGAGAAAAGTAGTATTACCGTATGCATAATGTTTAGAACAACTAATGTTCAAAAGTCTAATGAAATTCAAATTTGTTGAATATTTGCTAATTTGAAAGTTCAGTATAAACTGGTCAGACAACGTAATTGGCAAATTAGCATAGTAAAAATAAAATTGTGTCAAATAATCAAATTTTATAGAGTTGAATTATCTATGTATCATGCTTCTGTGGGAAACATGGATATCCAACATGAATAAAATATATAGGAAATTAGTTATTTTCAATACGGCCAATGAGTTTATATTCGATTCAAGCAATAGGCTACTATTGAAATCACAAAGGTAGATTAAATATTCAGAACAATAATTGGTTGTTAACTGGTATGGGTCAATAAAAAACTTCAAGTCACAAAAAGAAATTGAAAGAAAAAAAATTAGATCAGGATTTTTTTTAATTTTATAACAGCAATCTTTGCGATCTCACCTAATCCAGTCTCGAACAAAATTGCCCAGCAAGTTATTTTCATTACATGTAAGGTTAATTTTCCAATATACTGGTAGATTATTGTGGAAATAAATGTTTAAACAAGGGATATCATCTGAGATCAGTTTAAGATGAATCAAAATATGCCTAACAGCTATAAGCTTACAGATATTCCATATAGAATTCATGACTCAAGTCGATGTATCTTTAAAACAAACAGAAATCTATGTGTTTTTGCAAACATTACTTTTTGACTGCCTCTTGCATAGCATTTCAAGTTGAAGCCTATAACGCTCAGCTTCAGTTTCTTTTCTAAGAGATTCTTCGCGAAACCTGGAGGCAGCCCGTTTGGCATTCTCTAATTGTCTTTCCAAAATGTCTCTTTCCAAATCGAGGGCACATGCATCATCACTTTCGCTATTACTCCTATTATTAATATTATTATTACCACAGTCCGAGAAAATATTAGAAAACGGCAAAGATCCTACAGAAGACGATGGTATAACGAGCAGGTCAGAAACATCCTTAGAACAAGGGGACGAATCTTCTTGCTCTGTTATTACCGATTCGGAAAAATTAGAACAACTTTCGACAAGAGACATAGCTTCTTTTTCGATATAAGGACTGCTCTTAGAATTATTTTTGCATTTAGATTTCAGCAAAACTGAGTTCAAAGACCCCTCTAGCTTTGATTGTTTGTTACTTTTATGATTTATTGTGACCGGCTCACTTTCCCAGGTTTTATTCCAAAATTGCATAGCCAACTTACCAGCATCAGTCAATATAAATGATCGAACATTATCTAATGGATTTGGGGGTAAACTTACTGGGGAAGATCGGAGACGAGACAATTCATCCAATGTCACAACAGAATTGGCCATTTCACCAGACATGCCTGCTAGAGCTGACAAACTAGCTAATAAATTTGTCTGAATAGGTTCAGTAGCTTGCGATAAATTTGGAACAACAACGCTAGATTTCTCAAATGTTTTTGAGTTAGTTTCTGGCGTTGTTCTTCTTTTATGAACCCCTTTGAGTATGTCAGCTAAAGCAAAATGGCTTTCTTCCATACATATATCCAATGCTGTTTTATCAAATTTACTTTTTAACGTTCGATCTGCTCCATTTTGTAGCAGGCACAATGCAACTTCTTTGTGATTTTTCACAGATGCCCAATGCAAAGGTGTCATCTTTAGCATATCCAGAGCATTGATTCCTGCCCCATGCTTGATCAATGCTTCCACAAGACCTATATGTCCAGACTGGGTTGCCAGATGTAGAGGTGTTTTGTCAACTTTAGAGCGGGCATTACATGACATCCCAGCACGCATCAACAAAAGAGCAGTATTTTGATGCCCATTTTGTGCTGCTAAATGCAGTGGTGATGTTCCTAACCAATCAGTGGTGAACGAAGCACCTTTTGTCAGAAGAGTGCGCACTTTCTCTTCATCGCCATAACGAGCAGCTTCAAGTAGATTTTTTCCGAGATCAGTTAATGGTGGATCAAAAGATGTACTGGTATCCATTTACATATAAGTGCTATAGAATCAATATCTTAATTTAATATTTGATAAAAATATCAACTTGTAAACAACAATTACACTATATTGGAATGGAAACTGTATAGGGGTTTTCCAAGTGACAAAGAAAATCTTTATTTATGATAAAGACTGGTGAAAATCTGGGGTCTAGTATAGTTCAGTACCACAAGTACTTCCGGTGGGCGTAGCATAACAAATTTAACATATGTTATTCCTAACCCCCACCTGACTATGCCACCCAAAAATTACAGCACTACGACGTCACAATCACATCATAGAGCTTGCCAAAGTATAGCCACAATCGGCCAAAACGGTACCCGCGCCGCCGATAACTAAAACACTAACGCCAACGATCTTTCTCAAATCAGGATCGTTGCGACAAGGAAACAAGACAAATAGCTTGCTCGATTTCGGGTGATCGGCTGCGCACTTTGGACGACCATATGTACACTTTACAAGGCTTCATTACGCCACTGTGAAATCATAGTAGTGTAATTTTTTGGTGGCGTAGTATGGTGGGGGTTAGGAATAACATATGCAAAAATTGTTCGCCCAAGCCAACTAGAAGACCAAAGTTATTCTAGCAGCATCTCTCTCGTTTTTGAATGCGCCGATCGCGGTTGCCTGAACTCGGATTTCAATGGAACGATGCGAGAGTTCGCGAAAAAGGCATTGATGCAAAATCAGCTGATGATTAATGGGTTGCCAGATTAATCATAAAAATTGTGAATAATTGCCAAAAAATCATAGTTCTCTCCCAAATATGGGTGTCTTACAAATATATCCACTTGGTAGTATAAGAAAGATTAGGATAAGTGCTTATAGTAAAAAGTAATCACAATGAGTTTGACAAAGATTGGATACGTGGAAAATATATTTATTATCGTTTAAACCAGGCCCAGTCGTCAATAAATATTAAAATTGGCAACAAGACCTATTTTGCCCCCAAAAAGAAGTGTCTTACAATCATGGTCCCCCCATTTACACAAGACCAGTAGTAGTACATATATTAAAGTGTTTATACAGCAAATTTGAAAAAGTTCGTATGGGGGAAGGTTTTTTTATTATCGTTTAAACATGGCACAATAGCCATTCTATGAAAAAAAATGGCAAAAAGACCTATTTTAACCCAAGAATGAGTGTCTCACAATTATGGTCCCCTCATTTACACAAGACCAGTAGTAGTATATATAATCAAGTGTTTATACAGCAAATTTGAAAAAGTTCGTATGGGGGGAAAATATTTTTATCATCGTTTTAAACATGGCACAATAGCCATTCTATGAAAAAAAATGGCAAAAAGACCTATTTTAACCCAAAAATGAGTGTCTTACAATTACGGTCCCCTCATTTACACAAGACCAGCAGTAGTAAATATAATAAAGTGTTGATACAGCAAGTTTGAAAAAATTTATATGGGGGAAGATATTTTTATTCTCGTTTAAACATGGCCCGATAGTCAATTTATGATAGAAATGGCAAAGACCTATTTTAACCAAAAAATGAGTGTCTTACAATTACGGTCCCCTATTTACACAAGACCAGTACCGGTAAGAGAAAATATATCGAGGTGTCTATGCAACGAGTTTGAAAAAGATTGTGTGGGGGAAAGATATATTTATTCTCGTTCAAACCTGGCCCAGTGCATGTGGTACTAACTCATGTAACTACTAAACTATACTCCAGACCCTAAATCTGTATCCATACTGCCATATTTAAATTGTCCCTGCTAAATTGGCTTAGTCTATTATCTGACTATCCAGCTGCTAACTTATATTCTAGCCAACATGATATTAAAATGGCAGTAGACTATTCGAAATTTCATACAAAATGTACACTGGTAACTATATTTGTATATGCCTGAAATACAATTCTGCAATTCCAGAATTCTATGTCAAACATGATGGAAATTAAACAGGTTCAGTAAATACTGAAATAGAATACAGAAATACGGTACTTAGCAAACATAGCCATTTTATATATAGTACCTTATCTTACAGTCTTAGGACGTTTTTTCAGGGGCTTTTTTAAGAAAATATCTGTCATGACCATTCAGTCATTTGGGTAGAAATATAACATGCGTTAACATCACATGATTCGAGCTAACCCCTCACAGCCTCAACATGCAGACATGTACCGGTACCTACTGTACTGTACTGTACTGTACTGTACTGTACTGTACCGGTACTGTACGGTAACAAACAGTGTTATTGTAAGTCTTCATACCTGCTGTACCGGCGTAATCTAAACAGAAAACACAATTTGAAGTTTATAATGAAATGTAGGTACTTCTGATCAAGTTCCCTTTACTAATAATAACGCAAACAACCAGATCCCTGTATTGATTTAACCAAAGTGACTACAACATAGTCACTTTGGATTTAACTAAGCATTCTGACTGTACCGTGCTCTATGTGTGACTATGCCCTCCCACGGGAGAGTTTTTTTTTTTGCTAAATAAATTCCAATGCCAAACGGAATTTTTGTATTAATATTTTGGAATCGAATACGGGACATAGATTTTCGTTTCCATGTTTTTTTCTCAATTTAAATCCCATTCCCCCATTATATATCAATAGTAGAGTAAAAATTCAAATAAACACAAAATTCCTACCATTACCATGATGTCATTTATTTACGGTAATATAATCGTAAATATATACTACTACTATATACTAAAATCCATATATGTCCAAACAACGACTAACATACCAATAAAGTCCAAAGAAGTTGAGTTAATCCACATGTAATCCACTCAGCAGTTGTATATAATTTTAATTTACAGGTAATCAGTTTATTTTAGTTAGCATGAAAAATGAAACAAAAATACAAAAATTAGACAGAGAATATGGAAAAAATGTATTGGGTTTTTCCTATTCGCCACCTATGTTCTATAGTCCATACACCATCTTCTTATGAAAATGATGTACAAATAATACACTTTCAATAATTTTCACAGTGGGAGGTGAATGTTTGATGAATGACATGAAGTAAAATGAAAAGATCTTATTGGACACGTTAAGTGGACCTAACGATCGTTTCAATATTATGTTCTCGTTGTTCTTATTGGACACGTAGTGGACATAGCGATCGTTTCAATATTATTGGACACGTAGTGGACATAATGATCGTTTAAATATTATGTTGTTGTTGTTGTTCTTTGACACTTTTTGGACATCTAGTGGAAAATCTGAAAAACCGCTTTTCTCTTCATTACTGGACCGATTGCTTCGAAATTTTTACCGGTTAAAGATGAAATTTTTCTCCAGAAGGCTATTGCTTTCATTTATTTCAAATATTTTTGTTAGCTCTGTGAGATTTGTTTTTGTTTGCTATGACGTCACCGAACGTTCTGGGGACGCATAGCCGACACTCCTCTTCATTTTGATCACGTGACATCGAACGTCGAGGGTTCGTAACGAAGTCCTTACGGTACTTTGCTACGATTTTTTCCTTACGCTGATCGACGGTACGGTAAACCGTACTGTACTGCGAACAGACGTGTCCATATATTTGGGCATAGCTCTCTTGTTGGACACGTAGTGGACATAACGATCGTTTCAATATTATGTTGTTGTTGTTCTTGTTCTTGTTCTTTGACACGTTTTTAAAAAGTCGCTTTTCTCTTCGAATACTGGACCAATTGCTTTGAAATTTTCAGTGGTTAAAGATTAATTTTTTTGCTAGAAGGCTATTACTTTTATTTATTTCAAAATTTTGCGTGAATTCTATGAAATTTGATATTTCGTCTAAAATTTTGCTGTATTATTTTTTATCCATGGGAACACGGATTTTAGTCAGTGTCATGACTGGCTGTACGTTTTGATTTTGCAAAATTCTTGCTACTGGAAATTCAGAACTTTTTTGAGGGTACCGGTAGCGTCAAAAGTACCGGTAAGGACTGATTCGCTCTGGTCTAACGTGTCCATATATTTGTGCGTAGCTCTCTTGTTGTTGTTCTTATCGTTGTTCTTAGTGTCCTTGTTCTTTGACACGTTTTGAAGAAATCGCTTTTCTCTTCGAATACTGGACCAATTGCTTTGAAATTTTCAGTGGTTGAAGATAAAATTCTTCCCCAGAAGGCTATTACTTTTATTCATTTTAAATATTTCTGTTAGCTCTGTGAGATTTGTTTTTGTTTGCTATGACGTCATTAAACGTTCTGCGGACATCGGACGCCTTTTTGTGTCCTACTGTACTGCTTCGCTTGGTGTGAATATATTTGTAGACTGTTATCTGACGGTACGGTAAACCGTACTGTACTGCGAACAGACGTGTCCATATATTTGGGCGTAGTTCTCTTGTTGTTTTTAGACACGTTTTTAAAAAGGCCTCTCGTCCGGTTACCATTCCAAGTCGGGTATGGGATTAGTTATATTGTTTGTTTTTCGGAAGCATGGACTTGGTGGTGGAGGAAGCCGTAACCGACCAGCGGTTACGTGAACCACCCAACGACGGCGAGGAGTCCAGCAATCCTCTCGCACATAACCATCCCTGCATGGGATTCGAACCTGCGAACCCATGCAGAGTAATTAGAGGTGCGGTGGCGAGCGTATTCCTAACGCTTAGCCCGTTGAGCCACACCGCCGCGCCAAAGCTCTCTTGTTTTACAGTTAGATCTGTAGTTTACAAACCGATACCGATGATCACGGTGAATTTGCAATCGATTCGGATACCGGTAGTAGATGAACTCCATTATGTCATAGAAAACAATGATTATGTCGCCTCATCTTCGAAATTCTGCGGCCACACGTCTTTTTATATTTCTTTATTTATTCAGTCCTGTGTATAAGTATAAGTCTATTACGACTCCATAATCAGCATGAGAGACAAAATATTTGATGAAAACAAGTAATACATAAAACTCATTACAGAATCAGGAGAGCAAGCACAAAACGTGTGTACTATATACCTCAATGGATACAGAATTAAGATTGGAGGTTTTTTCTAAAAGGAAGTGGTACGTGTTCACCCACTTATAGCGGATTATTCTTGTGTTTACCTCGAACAAATTTGATTTTTGCTAAAGCAGGCTCATTTGTCAGTGACTGCCACATTACCTCTTACAATTGAGCGAATTACCACGATACAATACTAAATGATTACCTCGTCAAATTAAATAAACAACCGATTTTGCATTGAACTGCTTGGGGTTCATCAACGCCAAATTACTAGTCTCAGCTCTCAATATTAATGAATGTTTCCTCAAGCAT